CCCTCACATACACACAGAACCCCCCCAACACACTGCACCACAAACATACACAATACTTCCAAATATATATATATATATATATATATATATATATATATGTATACACGCACACACTACACTCTTAAAGGACCACTCTAGCCACCCAGACCACTTCAGCTTAATAAAGTGGTCTTGGTGCCAGGTCCTTCTAGGGTTAACCCATTGTTTTATAAACATAGCAGTTTCAGAGAAACTGCTATGTTTATCAATGGGTTAAGCCTTCCCCCAAAACCTCTAGCAGCGGTCTCATTGACAGCCGCTAGTGGTGCTTGCGTGCTTTTCACTGTGAAAATCACAGTGAGAGCATGCAAGCATCCATAGGAAAGCATTATAAATGCTTTCCTATGCGACCGGCTGAATGCGCGTGCAGCTCTTGCTGTGTGTGCGCATTCAGCCGACGGGGCGGATCGGAGGACGAGAGCTCCCCGCCCGGCGCTGGAAAAAGGTAAGTTTTAACCCCTTTCCAGAGCCGGGCGGGAGGGGGTCCCTGAGGGTGGGGGCACCCTCAGGGCACTATAGTGCCAGGAAAACGAGTATGTTTTCCTGGCACTATAGTGGTCCTTTAACATACACACTCTGGATCCCCTATACACACACTAGATTCCTTGTAAGCAAACACATTCTACACCCCTAAACACACACACACTATAGCCTGTATGCACACACTTGCTATATCCCCAATACACACATTCTCTACAGCCCATAGCCACATATGCATCACATTACACCACAAACACAACACGACTAAAACCGACCTTATTACACAATACCACACCACGACCAGCTCACTCTACACACACGCAATACCACAAGCAGGCTCCAAACACATGCACAATACTCTTTCCTGGCCTTTTGTCTCCTGGTATCCATTTATAGACACCAGAGACAAGTTGCAAGGAAACACAGTGCAAGCATGTTATTAAATTTGCTTGCACTGTGCAAAACAAATACAGGACTTTTTTCTCATGCTAGAGCTCTTCAGCAGAGCTCTGCGCATGGTCTGCCTTGGAAGAGCATTGAACCAACATGCTCACTTTGAGAGGAGGCGTGTCTGTCATTGGTGACAAAACACACCTCCTCTGCCCCGCCCCCTTTTTAGTGGGCCGCTGTGTTAAAAAAATGCCCGGGCCGAATTTTTCTCCCAGTCCGGCCCTGTTTCCAGTTACCTAAAATTCTGTGTTAACCCATAAAAACAAGACCGTGGGGAATATCCTTATGTTTGTAATTAAAATGTGCAGATACATTATGTGTCTCATACTTATATTTTATATTTCCATTGTGTTATTCCATCCTTTTATACAGGGGATGTTTTGTTCTGTCTATATAGCATTATCTGCTGGAACACATCAGTAAATACATTACTTGATTAGCATGACAATAATTAATTGTTGAATTATATCATTTTACATAATTTTTAAATTCTTTTACATGTCTTCTTTTGCTACTTATTTACAGAGGCTAGACACGAATCGCAACCAAAACAAAACCTTTTTTGTACATCTAAAAAAATATTTAGGGTAATTTTTCATATGACTATTTATCACTCTCTTTATCATTTATCTTATCATTTAAAATAGTGTTCCTTTGTATTTCCTAAACTTCCTTATATGTATATTAATAAAGATAAAGATAGTGACAGCAGTTACGGAAATCCTTTTGACCTAACTTTGCTCAGGCTTCTTCATTAGAGTGGATAAAAACATTCCACTGATCTTTAAAGATCCGCTGATCAGGGTAAAGGGATAAAAATACCTTTTTGTAGATCACACCAAATTCAATGTGGACACTGCAGAATAATTTATTTAAGACAGCTTAAAGGTGGAAACATGATACAATGCACTTAAAGCTCAAAAACAAAAAAATTATTATAGGCTTAATGTACTTTTGGGAAGGACGTCAGAGGAAAGGGACATGATAGTATTTCCGACACTGGAGAAAATCTGTGGAAGAAAACATTATGTAGGTTTCATGAATGGAGAAGTAATATCATCAAAAGAATGGAAGGTGCACTAAAGGCACTGCTGTACGCATCTTTAAAAGTATTAATGAATCATCTAATTAACTAATAGGAAACATTGTATTCTCAACATGCCAATTATCTTTTACTGAATTAAAGGAAAACTATAGTGACAGGAATACAAACATATTCCTGAAACTATAACTATTGAGGTGACTGGACTCCCTGCGATCTCATGGGAAAGATCTTTTTATTCACCTTTTTTCACAGGCCGCACTGGTCTTGCCACGGCTAACCCCTCCTGGCTCTGCCTCCATGGCTGAACTCATCAATTTGATTACCTCAATCAAGCTTAATGATGTCAGCCAATCAGGTTTGAACCTGCTCACTGATGTATACCCAACCCCATAAGGGATTGTTACTCCCTGGTAAAGTAGGTCCCAGTCTAGAACCTGGAGACTGAGGTATACCTTATCCCATTGGGGAATATCAATTTTATATGTAGTAGGTCTCAGACAGTTTGGAAAATAGACCTTTATACGTTATCCTCTGGATGTCAGATAGTCCTGTATTCATAGATATTGTTCCCTATATTATTATCTAGCCAATGTGTACCCCAAGCTGATCATGAAGGACCAAGGCTTAATAGAGCGTATAGGAGACACTACTCCATGTTACTTAGGGTAATTGAAGTAGCCCCTTTCTTTTGTGTCCTTTTAAACAGAAATAGCAATCTCTCTAGTAAGCACTCAATAAATAAAGCTTTAAATAGAGAGATTTTCCTATTTTATCAGGATATAGTGTGTTATAACCTTTGGGGAATATCACTAAGAGGGATTGGATTGAATATGGAATATACTTTCTTTCAATGTTGAATTATTTTGGATTTTCACTAGTCTTTCCAGTTGTGATAATACAGAAATGGGATACCTTTCTCCTACAAATTTAAGGGTTAGGCCTTATGTCAGTACTAGACAGTGCTAACTGTACACTAGTGAGCCAGCTTCCAGTGGTTCTACTGATATATCTATAGACACCAGATACACTACACTGTAGTGGTTCTGGTGACTATAGTGACCCATTACATTTTCAAGCACGTCAACCAGAATTATGACTATTTCAAATCATGGCCCCAATTTATCATTTATAAAAATTAAGTCAAAGGAAATGTCATTTCAAGATGATTTTAAAAATATTCAAACAATATTAAATGACCTATATCTATAACATATTCTTCCTCACCTTGCAGTCTCTGCATCCAGCGGCCGTGCGTCTGCATGACTGACACTTGCGGCATGCTAATGAAATGCAGCCGCTGTGGCTCCACGGCAAATTATACCCCCAAGCCCGCTCACGTGATTGACGACATCGGCGTGCACGTGACGTCACGCACGCGAGGCACGCACGTTTGTGGGTCAAAGATCGATCTCGGCCAATCAGAAAGGTAAAGCAGGTATTTAAACCCAAAATTACCTTTCCTCATTGCCCTGTCGCGGTTTTCCTATTGGTTGTCCGAGAGTGCGTTCCTGATTCAAGTATTTTCTGTTTTTTGACTTTGGCTTTTTTTTTACTTACCTGTATTCTGGTATCCCTGACTTCTGGCTTTCCCTTATCGTTGTGTCTCTTTCTGTATCCCCTGACCTCAGCAAGTATCCTGACTACTCTTTGGTACGTTAAGTCCTGCCATCCTAAGACCCGGTAATATGTTACCTATTAGTCATCAGTGTGACACAAATTTACATGCTGGATCAACTAGTAATCCTGACAATATCTACCTATATACCAATGCTATCTGAAAAAGTGTGGCTTACGCTGCATATTTATTAAATGACTATTAGGTAAGTCCTTTCATTTTGAAACAATGCACAAAGGCTGATATAATATTATTTAAATCCTGATAAATTATTTTAAAAAAAGAGAAATTGTCCACATGTTTAAAGTAAAATTTACTGAAAGCCTGTTAGTGGAATATCTAGATAATACACAGAGTCAACAACTCCATGCTTATATTCATATAATTGATTATGGGATTTAAAACCAGTGATCATCTATAAGAATAACAAAGCATTCTGCAGAATTTTATACACGATTGAATATTCATGCTAAAAATAATTTGTTTCTCTATCATTGACTAATTTAACATTGCTGCTAATTAACAATAATCAGTATTTGCACTTAAATACCATTCTCCTAGAACAAATACCTTATCATTGAAACATCTTATTGTTATGTAACAAAACGCAACATTCTTAGGGAGATCCTCTCATCCTCTCTTCAGCTCCCATTACAGACCTTTTTTAAGAAAACGATGGCAGAAATACATGTTTCATGATAGATGATTTAACAAGCACAACATTCATTAGACAGATTATAGTTATTAGTACGAGAGGTACATTCTGGGAAATATAAACTAGCTAAATATATGTTTAGATAATATATTTTGTCACTCATATTTTATTGGCATTTCATAGGCAGTTTTACAGTGGTAAACATTTGCAAACATTGTTTGGAACATTATATGAAATAGTTGCCATAAACAGTTCATTGTTTGTACTGCCAGTAGAGACATGTGAACAATCAAACATTGTTTTGTACAGAAAGGAAAAATGACTGAACAGAAAAAAAGGATTATTTATTTGTGCACAAGGTCAAAATAGCATTGTAGTGGGCAAGGATACCTAGTCTAGTGTGGCTTATGAGAGTTGTATCTCAGTGTCCGCTGTTGGAGGATGGGCTTCATATAGTGGCGTAGTGGTCTACATGTTTAGTGTCAGGCCACAATGTATTGGAGAGGAGGAAAATAGAATCATAATCTACTAAAGTGTTTTTTTTTATTTTTTATTATATAGCGTGAAGTTGAACACCTTTCATTCTGTGGTTGTCAAAACTGTTTGCATTTTCTTTGTTGAACAGTGTTTTTGGCGCCCATAGGTTCATAGACATAACTTAGATCTTTATCCTTTCTAATAACTCATTGGTTGTTTCCAGTTTAGAGCTATAAGGTGCCATGCTGAAAGCTAGACATAAATGTGGATCGTGTTCTATGTTGATATAATTTTAAGCATTTATCGATGTTGCCAAAAATTGTACAGGTGACTTTAGATCATTGGAAAGTTGTCAGAAAATAGCATGTTTAGTTATATTACAAAACAAATAAAGCCATGCAGTTGAGACTGAAAGATTTCAAAACACAAAATATTTTAACCTTTAGTTCAATTCAGATATAAACCACATCTTTGGAAAGTCAATAATAATTTTATAAACAGAAGAACTAAAATTGATACAACCTTGCAACTAGAACTATATCAAGAAATTGATGGTAACGTTATTAAACCCATGCAAATATCTATGTCCCCTACCTCCCAAATTCATTAACCACATAAGAGGATTCTTAATATAAAATATTCCCTAAGATAGAATTGCATTGATTCATATTTCACAGAGCACATGCACTACACTATTTGAGTGACAATTTGTAAATTAATTTCTGCTTCATCATAATTATATAGATATTCTACACTAATTTTACTATTTTTCATGATTCAGTTCAATGCACTTTTTTCTGTTTGAATATTTCACGGGAAGTTATCTAATGTTATACCAAGTTAATCATAGGCGTGCGTACGGGGTGTGCCGGGTGTGTCCGGGCACACCCTACTCCCCGCGGCATGCCTATGGCGTGAGATCGGCAGAGAAGATCTCAGGATCCCCCTGTCGGCTCATGCAGAGCCGGCGCTATCCGAGCGCCGGCTCTGCGCTCAGCCTCCCTCCCCACTGACCCACATGCGGGGAGGGAGGGAGGCAGGAGAGGACCCGGGGAGCTATTGCCAGCAGCTCCACCGGGTTCCTCTCGCGAGATCTGAGCGTTGCCGCGAGAGTGAACTCTAGCCCCCCAGATCTCACGAGAGTGAACTCTAGCCCCCCAGGCTAGAGTTCACTCACCACTGGACCACCAGGAAAGGCAGCAAGGAAGGATCCTCCTCCCTACATAAGGTGAGAAGGGAGGGGAGATATTAAGTAATCTGCCCTCACCTCCACTGGACCACCAGGGAAGGCAGCAAGGAACAAGAATCCCCCCTCCCTACATAAAGTAAGAAGGGAGAGGGGATATTAAGTAATGTACCCCCACCTCCACCCCCCCACAATCACTCACACACATACAGCACCCACAGACACACATACAGCACCCACAGACATACACAGCACCTACACACATACAGCACCTATACACATACAGCACCCAAACACATACACAGCACCAACACACATACAGCACCTATACACATACAGCACCCACAGACATACACCGCACCAACACACATACAGCACCCACAGACATACACAGCACCCACACACATACACAGCACCAAAACACATACAGCACCCACAGACATACACAGCACCAACACACATACAGCACCTATACACATACAGCACCCACACACATACACAGCACCAACACACATACAGCACCCACACACACATACAGTACCCACACACACAGCACCCTCACAAACACACACAGCACCCTTACAAACAGCGCCCACACACATACACAGCACCAACACACATACAGCACCCACACACACATACAGCACCCACACACATACACAGCACCAACACACATACAGCACCCACACACACATACAGTACCCTTCACACACAGCACACAAACAGTACCCTCACACACACACAGCACACTAACAGTACCCTCAGAAACACAAACAGGACCCTAACAAACACACACACAGCACACTACCAGTACCCTCACACACAAACAGCACCCTCACACACAGTACATTAACAGCACCCTCACAAGCACACACATACACACAAACAGCACCCTCACACACAGTACATTAACAGCACCCTCACAAGCGTGCACACACAAACACCCTCACCCACATAGTACACTACCAGCACCCTCACACACACGTCACACTAACAGCACCCTCACACAGCACACAGCAGTGTATGTGTGTGTATATATGTGTATATATATATATATATATATATATATATACATATATATACATAAATACATACATATATACGCGGCGTGTTCTTGTGCTCTAGGGTGCACACCCTAATGCAATAGGCTGCACACGCCTACGCAGTTAATGGGTCTTTTTACAGAATGCAGAAAGAACTGATGTTTAGGGATGTGCATGGGGAAACTATTCGGTTCAGCATTCCGAAATTCGGGACTTCGGAACTCCGGCACTTCTGAACTTCTCCTGCAGCCGCTTAGTAGATAACTTTCTAATTCCCATGGTATTAGGGAGCTATCTACCAAAAGGCTGAAATACCTAAATTGGTCTTTCAGTCAAATTTACTAATACTAAGTAAAGATTACTTAGTATTAGTAAATTCTGCTAAATAAAGTGTCCACACTCCCGAGCCCCCACCTGTGCCTCGCGAGTGGGGGCTTTTAAACTGAAGAAGGGACCTGTTGTCCTCCCCCCGGCCCCCACCCCTGAGCGGCAGGTGGGAGCCCTAAATTAGAATAAGGGGGGGCTATTGTCCTCCCTCCTGACACCAACCCCTACATGTTGGGTGGGGGCCCTGAATACTAATAAGTGGGGGGACCTACTGTCCTCCCCTCCTGCCCCCACCCCTGAGCGGCGGGTGGGGGCCCTAAATAAAATTTTTACCCCCCCAGGTGACTAGGGGTCCCCAAACCCTGACTCACCCCCTCCCGAAAAAATTAATAAACCCCTTCCTACCCCCCTCACCCTAAAAATCTCACCGCACAGACTGAGCTCCACAGGGCGGGGGAAGGTTTATAAATCCGGGCGAAACGTGTTAAGTGAGGATTGGAGCACTCTGCCACTTTACTACATTTTGGTTTTTATTTTATATTTATAAAATAAAGTTAATTGCTACAATTCACTTCACCGTTATTATTTTATTTTACACTGCTGCCAGAGGCAGCTCTCTAATTAGGCGATTTAGGCGGCCGCCTAAGGCCTCGCGCTGTGTGGGGCCTCGCGGCCGCCTAAATCGCCTGAGGGCAGACTGACATGTCGGGTGGACCGAGGACCCGACAAAGGAGGGGGCCCGGCGGCTTGCCCTTTGTGCCGCCGGGTGCGAGGCCCCTCCTGTCAGTCTGCCCGGGGAGAGAGCCGACCTCAGTCTGCAGCTCCGCCGGGTGTGAGCTGCAGACTGAGGTGTCTCGCGCTCTCCAGCCAATCAGAGCGTTGCCGCGGGTTACCACGGCAACGCTCTGACTGGAGATCGCGAGACATTCTCCATGTGGTCTGCAGCTCTGCATCCGGCGGAGCTGCAGACCGGAAAGCCCACTGGACCACCAGGGAGCCATCCAGACTGACCCCACTGGACCACCAGGGAAAAAGGTACATTTTGATTCCCCACCCTGCACCCCACCTGTCACCCCCCCTCACCCTGCACCCCACCTGTCACCCCCCCTCACCCTGCACCCCACCTGTCACCCCCCCTCACCCTGCACCCC